GCTAGCTACAATATTTATTTTCGAACTATGTATGTTCAGCTGCTATGTGCTATATGCTTATTATATGATGATGCCGCCGTCTGCTGGCTCGTCGAGTTTCATACAAATGGTGGCGGACGGCTGCCAGTATGTGCAATATGGGTGCAGTATTATTATTTGATGATAATGACAGCCGCCGCGCCTCCTCCTTTGTTATAATGACAGCCGTCGCGCCTCCTCCTTTGTTACATAATTTTTGACTAGAAAAAAAAACAGCCCGACCTTGCCTTGCGGACCCAGGGACTGCGAAACCAACCCAAATCTAGCCAAGAGGCGACTCAGGCGGTCGGTGCGGACCCCACAATGAGGCCCATAGGGGCTGAGAAGGAGATTGTAAGAGAGGAGTTTGAGAGATACAGCCGACGCGGCTATTTAAGCCGGTCGGTGCGCCATTCTGTTGGCGAGGTGGGACTAAATAAGGCAATGCGGTCGACGCAACGCTGACGAGCCTCCATTTCTGCAACATCGCGGGCCGGCCCATGTCGGCCCAATACGACAGGCCCAGCCTCACCCCTCCCTGGCCAAGTCACCGTCGCCTCGCCCGCCCGACGAAGGAGTTTAGTCCCACCTCGGAAGCTGACGGGGGTGAGGACCAGCTTAAATAAGCCGGCGTGCTACACAGGTCGAACTCCTGTGCTAGTACTGCTTGATATCGACGCCCCGTTGGACCCGGCTGTTGGGCCCTTGTCGGGCTTTATATGGACCTCCCGAGTCGCCTCGTCGGCTTGATTTGGGTTGGGAATATATCCCAACTTGCGGTCCAGCAGCTGCCGGTCGGGCATTTTTTTGCACAACGATGGTCGGCCATGATTTTCTGCACAACGACGGTCGGCCATGGTTTTTGCAACAGGTACAGTAACAAAAACGCAGTATATTAAAACTATGAATTCTTTGACATAGCAGCACAAATAAGATGACAATTCTTCAAACAAATAAGATGTGTCATATCACATATGTTCACATAAATATTTTCATCACACATAAACAAATCGACACACAAAGTTTGCTGCCACACAAGTACGAAAAAGAAACAATATAGTTTATTCGGACTAGACTCATGCAACCATTTTTATTCTTCCAACATACCAAGGTGCTTCTCTATGCCCAATTCCTGAACATAACATAAAAATATGGGTGAGAAAATATTGTTTGTAAAACCGAAGTATCAACATAACAAAAAATAAGAAAGTAGCATCTTACTTCTCATTTTTTTACATGTAGCCTTGTTATGACCTGGTTGACTACACAGACTGCACAAAGGACCACTTTTTTTCTCTGTAAAATCTTTTGGCCTACCATTCTTTGTAACATCGGGGGCCCCCTTTGACCGGCCTTTCTTAGGTGCACCTTTTGTCGAAACTTTCTCAGGATCACCAATACCAGGCTCAACTTGTTGCGCTTGACTTGCCTCCTTCTTAAGCTTAGCATACCTTCTACTTCCTATAAGTTCCTCCTCTGGTATCTTTTTCTGCGCTATTATGTTGTCCAGACACTTCATCAACTCTTCAAACAAGAAGGGATCATTTGCTGCAACATGAGCTGCCTCTGCGGTTTTTATGCTTATTTGACTATACCGGTCTCTCTCTAATGGCCCTGACCAACCCCACCCAAACATATCACTCTTCTGCTGCACAGGCAATCCATCTCTCGCATTTTTTGACAACCGATGAAGGACACAACACTTTGGTATTTCAGTTATGCTCAGATGATGGACAACAAAAAGAATGTGTTTGCGTGGCAGGCCTTTCCGAACCATCCTAAGACAACTGCATGTTATAGTTTCTTCTGAGTTACCTGGTTCATAAACAACATTGTACATGAACTTGTGGTTATCCTTCCATGTCACCATATATGTCTGACGCTCAATTCCCACGAGCGTCTCAAATATCTTTAACTGACCCATCTTGTGCAAATCATCTTGCAGGATGTAAAAATTAGCAGGTGTGAATACTTTGGCGGCATGCTCCTCAAGTGCCTTATATTCAGTAACCGACGGTGGTTCTTTTTGGTGTGCCTCACAGTCATCGTACGCCTCATTCTCACGCAGGCGAACTATACAGTTCTCATAATGCACAACCAAATCAACTATTGTCATACCGTAGTCCAGGTGTAGGTGAAGGCAGGAGTTGAGGCTTTCGCTTCTCTGATTACTTCGCATACCAAGGAAAAAACTATCGGAAAGATATGAAGCTTCCCAAAGTCTCTTCTTCCTGTACATCCTGTCAAGCCACTCTTTAGTTCTATCTGTCTTCCACTTATTATAGAAAGCGGTCCATCTCTGCTCAAAGTTCGCTTGCGAGGTGGCATAATATAGGAGCGATCTGAACTCATCCAGTGACTTGTAATGCAGGTGCCTCTGCATATTTTTCTTGATATGCCAGGAGCAAAGACGATGGAAAACATCTGAAAGCACAGTCCGAATAGCCCGGATCATTGCAGAGTCACCATCTGTGATTATGGACTTTGGCTTTACCTAACAGTTTGCCTTCATAAATGTTTGCAGCAGTCACACATATGTCGCTTCCGTCTCGTCAGCAATTATGGCACATCCAAACACTGTGGTGCAACGGTGGTTGTTAACTCCGACAAAGGGGACAAATGGCATACCATACCTATTCATCTTATACGTGCTATCAAACACAACCACATCTCCGTAGTCCTGATAGTCCCTCCGCGACTGTGCATCACACCAAAACATACTCTTCAGTTGCCCTTCCTTGTCACGCACATACTCAAAAAAAAACTCAGGGTCCTTCTCCTTCCTGCTCCTCATAATGCCAACTGTCGTCTTTGCGTCACCTTTTGCAATGAGCTTCATCTTTTCTCTGCAACAAAGATTGTAAATATCCCTCCTGATAAGCCCGCACTTATCGTACGAACCATATCTGCTGATAAAGTTGTCCATTATTATATGCTTTCTTATCCCGGCAGCTTCCAATGCCAATATCTCTGCCCTCGTGCCTTCTCCAATCCGTCTGTGAGACCACAGAAAACAAACCTCGTCGGGCCTAGCCATCGCGTGGTTGTGATCATCGACGAATGACGCGACGAACCAAACCACCACGTTCTCTGTCCAGCTTCACCACCATATGTGCACCGCAATCGCAACGAGTCTCCGGTCTAAGCCTGCGCTTGCGGCCCTCCATGGTTATAAACTTGCTCTGCCTTCTACCTGCCCTTGAGCAAAGAAATCTCTGGTACCGTATCATTCCTGAAGCACCCCGTTTGACCTTCTGTTTTCTGATGCTAAACCCGTTCTCTCTGGCGTGATTGTTATAGAATATGTATGCATCACCTTGCGACCGAAAGGTCATAGCCATCACCTTCCAATGTGTATCCACCATTTGCTGCTGCCTTCGAGCCTCCTCAATGTCAATCTCTCCCTCATCGTGATCAGTTCTAATACCATCTGACTCCTCCTACAAAATTCATATGAAAATGTATATGTTAATTACTATCATTTAATTCACAATATTCATTGATGTACAACATCTATCTACGAACCTGGCTCAAGTTATCCGCAAATGATTCCTGTAAACTATTTTCCACATTGTCAACGTCCACATCTTCTTGCAAATTTTTACACATAGAGAAATAGTTAGCCAGACCATACATTGCAGGTTCAAAGATGAAATCAAAATATACAGCACTTACGTTTTCACTATTTGCGCCATGTTCATTATGATCAAAATCCTTCGGAGGCAAGATATCAAATGACGACACGGAATCGTTGTCGCTGCTGTCATCATCCTCATTAAAAATATCGTTATCATTCTGAGTCGCCTTATTAGTACCATTATCATCCCCCGTCAATGCGGTTTGTTCATCCATGGCAACACGCCTAACTGACCAAACTGCATAACATTATGAATTCTTCACGTGTTAAGTTTCTACTGTGGATCATGCCCAAGTGCATCTCTATCTGCCTACTACATGCGGTCGTCCGGGGAGGCGCCGCTGCGACGGCATGTTTACTCAACCATAAACCCTAGATCACTATGTGTGACTAATATCAACTAGCATGTTACTTTAGACGAGGAGATTAGATGGCAAACCTTCGGCCGCGGAGTAGACAGCGGCGACGTGCAACACGAGGGTTAGATGGAAGACGGCGGCGACGTGGAAGACGAGGGCCGCGGTGTAGACGTCGCTGACGTAGGTCGACGCAGGGCCGGATCCGCGGCGTGCGGGCGACAACGCGGTCAGTCGCAGCCGACAAGCCGTCCGACGGCGACGTGCAAGACGAGGGTTAGATGGAAGACGGCGGCGACGTGGAAGACGAGGGCCGCGGTGTAGACGTCGCCGGCGTAGGTCGACGCGGGATGGATCCGCGGCGACGTTCAGATGCGGCGTTGGATGGGGTTCAGCCGGGGGCGATCGCATAGTTGGAAAATGGACGTGATCGACGTGCGTGATCGTCGGGCGGACGAGAAGATCGTGCAGCTGATTTTTTCCCTCTACACGCGCGGCGGACTTTTTTTTTCATTCGTCAACGTATACAGACGTCGGTCTATACGGTATGATAGGGGGTGGGCATACGTTTCTTCCGTATGACCATTATGCCCTTATACGTTTTGTGGGGGGGTCTACCGAAGCAAGCCTCATACAATATACATGCACAAATTATATGTTCAGCGTTGAAGTCGGGGCGTAGCCTCCATTTCTCGCGACAGCGGCTAGGTCAACCAGGCGTCGACGGCGGCGGCGGACCGGACCTCATCAGCACCCTCCCCGACGACCTGCTCCTCCTCGTCCTCGCTCGCCTCCCCTGCGCCGGCGCCGCCGCGCGCACCGGGGTCCTCTCCCGCCGGTGACGCGGCCTCTAGGCCCATCTTCGCCGGATCGTCTTCCGCGACATTGCGTTCGACTCGATCGAGCCGGCGCTCGGCCGCGTCTCTCCCGCCATTTCCCTCTTGGAAATCCATGTCCCACCGCCCGCGAATCGCCGCTGGTCGACTAACATGGTCGACACAGCCCACGTCAACTCGCTGCTTCGCGCCGCCGCGAGGCTGGAGCCGGAGGAGCTCATCTTCAGCCTTTCATCGGACTTCATCGGTGATTACCCAGTCGTCGATCTGCCTTGCTTCCACCGTGCCACTTCCATCCAGCTCGGTCTTTTCGCCGTCATACGCGTGCCGGCCGGCGTCGAGTTCCCCGCGCTGGAGACACTGTACCTGGCGTGCAGCATTGACGCCCTCGACTCCGGCCTACGCGTGCTCCATCTCAGCAGCACTGAGTTGAATGGTGACCACCTGAGGGTCAACTCGGCGTCACTGCTGGAGCTTGTCGTGGGCAGCAGATGGACACGCAGTGTCAACGTTGTTTTTTGAAACAAGGCAAAAGATTTGCCATTTTCATTGATTAAGGAGAAGAGAGTTTCCCGGTTAATTAGAGGAAAACCGGGCGAAAACCTAGATACAAACCCCATAAGGGGCACACACGGACGACCTGGCCACAACAACGCCAAACAGTCGACCCCAACGTCGAGGACATGGCAGCTCCGATTTTGCTGACGAGCATCACAGGAGAAAGTTGCAAGCCTCGCACCGACCTAGACCAATGCAACACCCTGAGAGCGCCGCACGCTGAAAACCGCCCTCATGGAGTCATCGTTGCCGCAGCGGCCTCGCCTCCCGCAACTCCGACTTCTCTGTCACAGCCAGAAACCAGCATGGGCACACCCATTGGCGCACCGGACCTTCGACATCAAAAGGACAAGCCGCGACTCAGGCTCTGCTCGCCATCATCATCGTTGCCACACGCGTCGCAATGCCACACCAACCTCACCGCCGGCCGGGCACCTGCCGACCGCGATGTCGTGCACGTCCAGCCTGCAGGAAGCACAAAAGGGACCAAGATCTCCAAGACGGCGCCCCCAAGAGGGAAAACGACGTTGAGACGACGCCGCCGCCTGATCCAACCAGGATCCTGACTTTCGCCCGGAGATCTTGACCCGAGAGATGAGGATGCACAAATCACCACGACGACGCCTCCAAGGAAGAAAGCGACGCCCACGAGCGCCGCCGCCGCCGGCCAGCTAGCACCGGCCAAGCTTTCGCCCGGATCAGCAACACCACCACTCCCACGCGGTCGACCGACGCCAACCAGCACCTCCACTGACTCGCACACCCCCTCCACAGCAACCGCGCCATCGCCACGCAGGGACCACCACCACGCCTCACTGCCGAGCCAATCGAGCTGCCCAGACATGAGACGAGCCTCCCTCCACCAAGCACACCGCGGCCGCCGCGTCGCCCGCGCGAACTCCACGGCCGCCGACACATCAACCACCGTCCCGGGGCCGCCGCCCCGGAGTCCAACATCGCCACGCCAGGCCCGGGGATAGGAGGTCGCCCCGCCGTGTCGCAGCCACCGCACCACGCAATCACCGCATCGTAGCAGGAAACCACCACTGGCAGGCCGAATCCGACCACGCCCGGCCAGATCCGGCCGCAGCCAGCCCTCCCGTGGACCACCAATGCTCCACCGAGGCTCCCGCGCCACCACGCCGAGCGGAGCCGGAGACCATGACGGGGAGCAACCTTGGGCTGCAGGGGCCAGCCCGGAGCAGCGGAGTAGCGCCGCCCCCGCTCTCGAAGACAACGACCGAGAGGTCCCGCCGCCGCCGCACCGCCAGGGCTTTGCCCGGCGACGCCTCCGGCGGCGGCGAGAGGAGAAGGAGGCGCAGGGGGGCCTGCTCGAGCTTGCAGGGGCGCCCCGGTGCGGCCCGGCGCGGCCGCACGGGAGCGGGACAGGGAGAGGGGAAGGGCCCGACTCGAACTCCGCGGGGAGAGAGAGCCAGTGAAGACGGCGCCGGGCTTCGGGATGGATGGAGAGAGGACGCCGAGAGGGTCCCGGATCTGTGCTTGGCTGGGCCGGAGGTGGCCGGAGGAGGGAGATCAGCCGCCGGCGGCGGCGGTCCCTGCGCGAGCGCGAGCGCGAGCGCGAGAGCTACCTAGCGCGAGAGCTACCTCCAGTGTCAACGTTGTTGCCCCCGTGCTTAAGCAGTTGACCATGTCCCTCACCGCCTCAAAGATCAGCGTCGTCTCCGTCTTGGCGCCATTGGTGGAGAAGGTCTCATGGAAATGCTGCTATATGAATGGGTGTATTACATTTGGTCTTTGGCTGCTTGAGCAGGTGACGCTACAGACGGCAGAGAGACAAGGACAGCTCCCCATGCTGCACATTCGTGCCCACTGCGTGCGTCCTCTCAACTTACTGCAAGCTCTGAGTAAATAAAATTTTGTGAGTGATATATGTATATCCTGCTCCTGCCAAATTGTTTTTTCAGGACTTGTCTGTTTATCAGGACTCAGGCTGGACGGAGCGAGCGGGCTTTTCGGCCCGCTCGTGGCCCGTTGTAGACCGGACCGATCGGTCCTGACCCGTTGAAGAAATTGGCCGGTCCGGTCCCTAAATTTCAGCCCGAAATTTACTCGGTCCAGTCCGGTCTTTAACCGGTCCGACCGAGTGGACCGAAGCTGCAGATCGTTCCTCGACATCGCAGCCGCCGGTGACGCACTGGCCATGACCCGCCCCGTCGCTGTTCACCAGAATAAGTGTAATTTCGTCAATTGAAGAGATAGGGGCAAGAGGTAGGAGACTCTGGTCACGGGCTGAAGTTTCTTTCCTATTATTCAGTCCAACAGAAAAGAGAAACGGGATTAGATCCGATAATCACGGCACCATCCCACGACTAACTCCACGCTGCCGTTTCCCTTTATTCCACAATGTTGTTTCCTTTTATTCAATCCAACAGAAAACACAAGGAAACTCCTATTCCTACGTAAAAGGCTTACCAAATCTGTATGTGCAATCACGATTCAGTTTCGTCAGTATCTTCAGTATTTTCAGAATCTTCAGTATTTTCAGCAGCGGCAGGCCCTGATGAAGAAGCCCCCCAAAACACGGTGGTGATCGTGGGTCATCGCTGCCCCACCCGCACAGAGAAAATCATGGGCCGTTACTTTCTTTCCTTCTTTTCGTTGATCAGATGATAAAAATAACCAGAAAAACGAGGTTTGATCCGTCAATTATGGCATCATCCCACGACTAACCCCACGTAAAACTTGATCCTCTAATCACGGCCAGGACAGTACGCACAAAATTGTTGACTCATGCACGCGTTTAATTGCTTACATGTAGCGGAAAAACTGCTAAAGAACATACGTGCGCATGCAACAATCACGGCCCGCCCAGCGCCACCGCGTCCCGTTGCTGCCATGTGTGAACCGTCGTCGTTCTCAACCGTGTCCAGGAGCTCGCAGGAGTCGTCTCTCGCGGCTGCCATGGTCATGACCTCGCCGCCGCCGGTCCTTTCGGTCCGGCCCGAGCTTTACCTCCGCCGGTCCGGTCGAGGAAAAGAGGACCGCCGCTCTTCTCGGTCCAGTCCGGTCCGGTCCGCCGCCGGCCGGTCCAAACGGTGGCTCGGTCAGGGACCGGATCGGCCCGGACCGTGTCCACCCTGAATCAGGACGAGGCGGATAACTTTAAACAGCAGATAGAGAAGCATTAGGTTGCTGCCTTCTCTGTTTTGGAGCTACATCTCACGACAGAGGGGCATGTTTTTGGGTCATTGGTATTTGAGCTCTTTGGGATAGATCGAATTCGTACTGATGTGCGGAGGCTTAAGGTTGTCCTATCAAGAAAGGTAATTCTCATCTCTGATTACTTATCTCAACAATACATTGTGTAGTACTAATTGACATTAATTTTTGGTTTTAGATGGAAGAAGGATGCCTACCAGATTATTGTCCTTGCGAGGCCACAGATTGGAGATCCCAAACTATCTCCTTGACTGCTCTCAAAGAAGTGGGGATCAATGGCTTCGAAGGAGAGGATCATGACTTTGATTTTTTTAAACTGATAGTCAGATGTGCGCCAATGCTTAATAGAATGATTGTGAAGTTGTCACAGGAGGCCTCCACAAATAATGATGTGTGCGCAAAGATATACAACATCTTTGGGGTGTATTCTTCGGTGGAATGTTGTGTTTATCATAGCTCTGGTGAGTATATGTTTGGCATGTATGATTAGCGTGCTCGTAGTTGGAACAGAGTTATAATTGTTAATCCTTGAAAGATTTGTTGAATATGTGGCATTGGAATGCCAATTGTAGAGTTTGTGCTTGTATCCCAATTATTAGCCAAGTCAAAATGCTATTTCTGCCAAAATTATGATCCAACATCTGCATATTTTTATAGAAATAGATGCTAAATGGTAGAATGGGTGATAAGAAAGTTTCAATATTTTTACGCGGGCTTACTTTTGCGTTTTGCAATCTTATTTAATAGAACGAAATATGTATTTGGCAACCCTGTGACATATTGCAAAAACGCCACACCACCTGGATGCCGTCCATTTCAAATCCGACGCACGACCTGGATGCCATCGATTTTTTGATCGTACGGTCGCGATCTCGCCACTGGGTTGCTGGAAACGAAGAAGATGGAGTAGAGACATATTTACGCATGCATGCCACCGCGAAGTGAACGCGTACCGATTCGTTCGACCAAAGTCAAGCGGTTCCTTTCCTCTCTCACCATGCCGCCATAAGATGGAACTCCTGTTCGCCGCCGTCGCCAATACTCTGTATTCCTCCACCTCGATCCCATAGCTCGTCCTCAATCTCACCGCCGGCCGGGCCGGTCGTCCCCGTAGACTTCTCCATCAACGCCCAGTCGTTCGACTTCGATCTCAACTCCGCCGCTCATCCTCGACCTCACAGCCGCTCCGCTCGTACACTGCCAGCTTGGCCGCTTTCCCCGTCTGAGCTGACCTCCGAGATCGCCATTGTTCTGGTTCCCATCTGTGCTCGTCCTTGTTTTGCTTGTTCCTTTTGAGGTGAGCGAGGAAACTCCTCCTTGTAAACACGTCCGAGCTTGTCCTTGCCCTGCTCGCCCCATACAATAGCAGCATTCGTCTGAAGGTGCAGGTGCGGAAGCTAGACAGCTCCTTCGTGGACTGATAGGTCCGGGTGATGGCTGCAACCCTCCATTACATCAATCGTAAGGTATAAATTCTAGGTAAGATCTGAATTCTATGTAGGTGAGTTTTCTGAATTTTGTTGTACTAGCAGAGTAACTAATTCTAGGTGGGTGCTTTTCTGAATTCTGATGTACTAGCAGAGAAGCTAGTAGAGAATAAGCCGCCTGAGTGTGCTGGATCCCCGTGTGCAAAAATGATTGATATATATGCACAGATGTAGAACATGTATCAGTGGCATAACCATATTATTATGATGTATTGCTAATCTGCCTTGACAGAACAGAACATAATCAAGATTATTTGTCGTTGTTCTTTTTCCCAAATTTTATAGTTTCGTCTGATTGAGTATGATTTCTTCTCCACATCTGGACATGATTCAGTTCAGCCATGAGCCATTCATACGATACTCGGCAGTTTTGATTGTCTTCGACGCGCACATGATTAGCTCATAGTTTATACGGTGGGTTATATTTAAGTTGTGAACAAGAAGCTGAAAGTCCAAGCTCTGTTCTGGATGTGACCTTCCTAGACCATCCTGCTGCTAGTTCAAGGAACCATATAATGCTGCCTGGTGAGATTTTTCATCTAGTACATATGCAGAAACTCCATTAGCCTTCTATAAAGTAACATGCTCACATCAGAATGTTTGTTGTGAGAGTACTTGACCTGGGTTAGCATCTTAGCATGACATTCCAAACAAGCAAAATTACATTTTATTTCATTTCTGCTTGACGTGTCATGAACATATATTGCCCATATTAACCATATCCATATTCTATTTCTATTTGTTGAAAAAATAACTAGGGTAACTTTTGTGTAAATAGCACGGTAATATGTGCATTGCAGACCTGTAATGTAGGTGCAAACACCAGGATATTTTTAGACCCGAAGAAAAAGTTACTGAAAACATACCCATCGTAAATTCTTTGTAAGTAGTATGGTATATATGCATCATATACCTGATAATTTACGTATAAACACCGTAGTAACTATGACCATGAGAGGATTGTTGAAAATATACTCCGATAATTTTTATGTAAATAGCATGATAATATAGGCACCATAGACGTGATAACATACATGCGAACATCATGTTAACTTTGACCATGGGAAAGAAAATTATCGAAAAGATACACCTGGTAAATCAAGTGTAAATAGCGTGATAATATACGCATCGCAGACTTGATAACTTAGG